CCCAAACACAGCCACCAAGGCCGCCACAGCCGGCTGACCAAACGCTCAAACTTTTTTTCCCAGACCCTCTCTCTCTCTCTATCTCTCTCGCCCGCCCCCTCCTCGCTTTTCTGTTCCCCTCTTTTCTTTCCCTCGATGAGGTGTCCGAAGATGAGGACCACGCGGAGCGAGTGGGGTGGTGGTGGCCAGCAGGACTTTCTCCAGTTGGAGAGAGGGGCGGGCGGGAAAGAGAGAGAGAGAGAGAGAGAGAGAGAGAGAGAGAGAGAGAGAGAGAGAGCGGACGCAGCCGGCGGAGGTGTTGGAAATGTCCTTTGTCACCCCCTCCTCCCCCGCGCCCGCTCTACACATGAGTAATGACACCCGGGGGCTACTACCCCTACCTCCTCATCCCCCACCCCCCTACCCTTTTCTTATTGTCGGCTCTTTTGATGAAACGCGGCCTGACAGATGGTCCGTCTCGCGCTCGCGCCGGCGGCCCCCAGCCCCACAATGTGTTGACCTGCAGAAGCTACATCAGCCACCTGAGTGGCAGCTGGCAGATGGGGCGGCGGACGGGACGGGCGGAGAAGGAGGATCAGAAATATCCATCCACGCCAGGTCGGTACTCGCGTCGGCACGAACCACACAGATCAGTCCGTCGGATCAGATCAGTCCGTCGGTCAGTCGGCCCGTCCTTCGGACCTTCAGGTCCGTCCGTCGGGTACGTCCGTCGGGTACGTCCGTCGGGTACGTCCGTCGGGTACGTCCGTCGGGTACGTCCGTCGGGTCCGTCCGCACAGTAACAAGAACATCTTGGAATTCAAGTAGATTCCTTGAAAACTGTCTTGAAAACCAAGTAGATCGCTTGAAATCCAAGATGTCATTTTTACCGTGCGTCGGGTCTGTCCGACAGGACCGTCCGTCGAGTCCGTCCGTCCATCAGGTCCGTCCGTCGGGTCCGTTCGTCAGATCCGTCCGTCCGTTGGGTCCGTCCGTCCGCCCGTCCGTCGGGTCCGTCCGCCCATCGCTATCTGTCCCGACGGCTGTATCTTTGCCTTTGTCGTGCCGGCAGCACCGCAGAGGCTCGTGGAGCGGCGGGCGGGCGGACCAATTTAGCGAGGGGTGGCGGGCGGCGCCGTGGAAGCAGGTGAAGCACACCGAGGCCGTGGAGTAAAAGAGGGGGAGGAGGGGCGGGGGTGCTTAGGCCACTGCAGTGCCACATTAATGCCGTGCACGCTAGAGCCCCACCGGCCCCGCCCCGCCGCGCGCCCCGTGCCTCGGCTCAAAAACATAAACACGCAACAGTCCACGGCCGTATCAGGGGCGGGGTGGGGCGGGGCGCACGGCAATGCGACGCACACGTGGATTTACAAAAAGAAAAGGAGAAAAAAAAACGGTCGGGCGAATGATAAGGGGAGACGCGGTACTACTTTTTTTTATTTTTATTCCAACAACAAGAAGAAAGAGAATGAAAGAAAACAGCAGGGCAGACTAATTTCCCCTTTGCGACACGAGACACACATCTGGGAAAGGACATGTGATACAAATAATGTTGCTCAAACCCAACCCATCGCGAATACACTTAGAACGGGAGACCAAAAGTGGGTGAGAATCGCGAACACTTTGGTAGGCGTGTTAATTTCCATTCGTACACTTGTTGGTACATGTGAGTGAAATACCGAGCAATAAGTGTCCAAAAACACCTTTACTTGTACAAGTTAGTCTGCAATGGAGCTCACACACCTACACGTGCGTAACAATCACTCATAAGGGTCTCGTGTGTTTGTGAAGCAAAGTAAACGCAGAGGAGAAGGCGGCGTGTTTTAAAAGAAGCGATAACGTCTCCACGACCCTCCGACCCGGCATCGCTTTCGCACTCGGTAGATGGTTGGCGTTCCCAAGCCGCACACGGTGTCTGAGCGACGCTGACTCACCGGACTTGGGCGACACGCCGTTGCTGGCCATATACTTGACGCCGCTGTCCTTGGGGATGTGCACAGGGTGCGGGCCGGCGGGCAGCATCAGGGTGGACATGGTCAGCATGTGGGACAGGTCGGAGGCGTGCAGCAGCGGCGCCTGCAGGTGCGCGGGCGGCAGCTGCGGGGCCAGCCCGGGGCCCACCTGCAGCTGCGGCGGCGGCGGGGGCGGCGCCTGGGGCGCCAGCAGAAGGCCGTAACGGTGATCGGGGGCGCCGCACTTGAGGGACGCTTCCAGGGTGGCTACGTTGATCCTGGCCGTCACGTAGGTCGTCGGCAACAGACCGGCCGTCGTGGACGCGGGAGGGGCGTGGACGTCCGGGCGGGCGTCCACTCGACCTGGAGGGCAGGGCGCGCGGCACTCGCGGGGGCGGACGGGGTGCGGGCGCGGCGGCGGCGCGCGGGGGCGGGCGGGCACGTCGG